CTCAAACTTATGCTTTAAACATAAAATCACTCCAAAGTAACACTAACTGAAACAAGCATTGGGTTGCCTCCCAATAAGCGCTTCTTTAAAGTCAATAGCTTGACTATTTCACCTCATTTTTTCAAGGAGGCTTTGTTAGCGAATAATCCACCATTTTTGGTCGTGGTGGATCATTAAATGGTGACTTTATAGCAAAAGCCACATGATCTGATGATGTGAGAAATGGAAGTGACTTACCTATCCCAAGTGGTTCATAGATATTACCTTGAATATGCACCACTTGAGAACTTACCAAAGGAAATGTCATGAGAGTATCTTGGGCAGGAATACCTTTAAAACCTATACTTTCAATGCACTCCTCAAGAGGGGTGAAAATTGAGCCATTAAAACTCACCTCTTGAGGTTCAAAGTTAGTTCCAAAGATATTATCATGTGAAATGGATATTTGCTCATTAAAACACTCTTGAGATTCATCATTTTCATCAAAATGCAATCCATTTTCACATACAACATTCCCATCATTTATGCTAGGATCATTTTGCACATTATTAGAGGAAATAACTTCACACAATGCATTCAATTGCTCATGTATTCTACCAAAGTGAGAAGCTAATTCATCTATTCTTTCCTCAATCCTATCAAAACGGTCGGAAGTTGCATTTGCTAGCTTTTCTATTGCTGAATCAAATTGATTAGAAAAATTTTCTACAGCTAGCTCCCAAGATGTATTAGAATCATTAGCTAATGGTTCACTTTCTAACTCCCAAGGTAGAGGTGCATTAGCTAACTTCTCTATTGCCAACTCCCAAGATGGTTTTGATTCATATTGGACACTTTCAGGTTGGTAATCATAAAAATATGAATTATCACTATAATTACATTGATTATTCCAACCATAAGCAGGAGAATTGCTCCAATTAGCACTATATTGATCAAAACAAGGATTGTAATGCTCTAATTCATCATAATAATCCACATTTTGTGCTTGCATACATGTATTAGTAGCATGATAACCTCCACACAAGTCACAAATCACATGATAAGAATTAAAAGCATTAACATTCCTCCCTTGCCCAATTTCATGCATAATTACGTCCATTTGAACTTGTAATATCATAACATCAAATTTATTCTTTAAGCACCTTAAACCATCTTCAAAAGACATACATTCTGTAAATTCTTGGTTACCTCTGTTGAAGGAGCTTTGCACTTGGTAACCATCCATTGCCAATCTTCCACTTCTCAAGCATTGTTCTCCAAATTGACCTACCCTTCTCATCACCTAAAATTGCTTTTAAACAACCTCAAAAGCAAAATTAGTAAGAAAAATAGGTAATGAAACACATACACATAAAATACAAAAATAACAGAAAATAACATTCACATTATAACTAATATTATGTCTAAACTAATAAAGTTGCTCTTCACACCGATATTGCCAAATCTTCCCCGGCAACGGCGCCAAAAACTTGACGGGTATTTTACATACGTACAAGTTAAAAAATCGAATTACACCCGTTCACTGCAAGTATACAGATCAACTAGTAGTTTAGGGTATATATCGGGTCGATCCCACAGGAAAGAGTGAACAATTACCGGTATTATTAAAGCTTCTCTATTATTTAGACTATCAATGAATTATAACAAATTTAACCTACTGAAATTATACAAAATAACAAATAAAAGCTCCTTAGGTTGTGGTATCCCTAACTACTCATGCAAGTGCTATATTTAGATCATTGAGTACTACATCTAAGCTAATTATGGTGTAATTTCCTTAAACATGTGAAACCTACTTTCGTAGTGAATCAATTATACTCATAACTAATCCATACCTATTTTCATGGTTATGAAATTAGCTACAAGTTCATTTCTTCAATGAAATTACATGAAATGAATCACTAAAAACCACATAAGTGCACCTCTACTTTCGTGAGTGTACTCCCTATGTTTAGCACTTCTTGAACTAGTGTTAAATCTCAATTTTCATTGCAGAAACAACACCTTAGATAATCACAATTAATGGTACCAGATTAATCATGATTTAAAGAGCCAAAGTGCTAAATAACTTGCTCAAATCATAGCAATCAAATAACCAAATAATAAACACTAACAATCATAGAAAGTTCAACCAAACCCAAGGCTTAAACTTTAAACACACATATTGAACACAAAATCCAAAACTTGTATATTAACCAAACTTGGAATCAAATACAAAAGATAAAGAGTTTGGAAGGAATGTAACCCTTGTCACATGAGTTCATCTCCTTGCCTTCTTCATCCTCCATCTTCTTCTTCATCTAGCTAATAAACAACAATGGATAACACTCTACTCTATACTAACCTACTGCTACTACTCAGAAAATGCAAGAGCTACATCTCTGCACTCCAAGCTTCTCCCGTATGTCTCTCTCAATTTTTTCTGCTATGAACTCCCCATTCTCCTATTTTTGCAATGCATTTGGCTATTTAATGATGAAAGGTGGTCAAGAAATGAGGATTACATCTCCCTTTTACAGCTGAGAATGTTTCTCACATGTATAGCATCCAATGTGAGTTGGTGGAGGTGAAATTGAGTTTTACGCGTACAGAGCAGCCTTTTCTGACCTGTGATCCGAGCTGCTACAGTACCTCGGATCCGTATGGATCCGAGCTCGGATCCACTAACCCAGAAACAACCGAGGGTTCGGATGAATAGTGGATCCGAGTGTGGATCACTTGCTCTGTTTTTGGTCCAACTTCAACCGATCTTTTCTTGATGTTAGAGGCTGAACCAGCTCATGTGTAAAACACGAAAGTTGTAGCCTTTTGAGTTATCTTTCCAATGCATCAAGAATCACCTCATTTGGATCTGTGTAGGCTGAGATATGACTGAAATACCCTTGTCTGCTCATTGCCCTGTTTCAGCTTCGACCAACAGAAATTAGCTAATGTAATTCGGCTTTTTGATTTTGAAAACCTTCAAACTGGATTCGGATGTCTTCACCAAAGTTGTAGATCTATCTCTTATCTTCAAATGGGTTTAAGAATCATCCCAATCCGATCATTGTAACTCAAGTTATAGCCGAAATACGAAAATGTGTCAAAACTGTCAAAATACACAAAATCCAAGTAAAAAGTGATAAAAACCTCATTTAATTGAACAAAAGCATTTTATACCAATTATAGCCAAAATGAATCATTTTCTTCCAATAATATACCCAAAGTGACTAAAAATAATATAAAATATCATACAATTATTACGTAAATTAGTCACTTATCAATGGCACATGCTACGACTTGGGATATCTCTCTACAAGTCAGTTGGATTGACACCTTCACTAAACAGCCGGATGTGGCCAGGTTTGTCTTGTCCAATGACTTGAGCAAATGTCATTTCGGCCAACGGAGTCCTCAGCTTCTGGTGGAAGTTTAGCTTGCTTTTCTTTCATTTTACTCTAAAAGAAAAGTAAATATAGTTATTATCAGTTTCAGCATGACTTAAGTAACATAAAAACACTCTTAGTTCACTTATCAAATTCTCAACCACCATACTACTTGATGGAGTCCCGTCAACATGGCTATAAAATTTTTCAAACCTAATACATGGAAGTAATGTTCAGGTTGATCATTTTACAAAAAAGAAAGGAAAAATAATATCACCCTTAGTTCCACATCAAACCTAAAACGTCTTTTCACTAATAAGTTTCAGATTAATGAGGTAGTAATTAGTAATTGGTAATTTTGGGATCTAGATATGAATTATAACATGTAACACTTGGTTCTAAGATAGGAAATTCTAAGCTAAGACTAACTTCTCTTTTTTCGCTTTAGAGCTTAGATAAACTTCTGAGATTCTATCAACAACAGCTATTCCAAGCAATGCAAGCTTTTTATTTTATGAATCCTGATGCCTGCTATGATTCTACATTTTTTCAAGCTTCATTCTGATGGCCTAAAATCTAGTACTTCCCTTCAAGAGATCACCTCATTTAGCTTTTTTAGTAATTCACAAAAACAAGTGACAGACTTGATTAAGCCTTTGGCTTCAAGCTATCCATTTAGGCAAAATTTCTTGAATGTTTGTTTCTGCTATCTATTCAGAATAGCTAGTCATACCAGTGGCAATGAAGTGTCTTAATGCCCTTTGTTGATCAAAAGTATTGTGAAGTATCTCGACAACCCAAACACATGATGACAATGTTTTGTAGGAAGAGAGAAAATTAGTGTTTCTAGCTCAATGCTTAGGATTTTCAGCATAACCATTTATAATACCTTTCTTTGACTGCAAACTAGTGCTGCATCAGGTCCATAAATGAATTATAACAGGAAGGACTCAAACTTTTCCACTTAGTGAAGACATAATATAGATCAATGATCATTAAAAGATGATTTTCACGCTCAGCTGTTTAGGGATTTGTGGTGCAGTCTATAAAAAAGAAACCAACATGAGATTCATAGGCAACTATAGAATTCACCTTTGCTGCCTCAATCTTAGAATCTTGCTTCTGCACATCAAAAGAGAGTGGTTGCATTTTGCAAACAAAAAACAAATCTGACTTTTCAAAGAATGCCTTGTGGCTTTCAGAATCTCCAAGAAATAACAAAAGAAGGAAAAAGAAACGAACTCTTTGCGGCCTTTCTGAATTATGCAACTCCTTGGAACAGAATGCTTGGTTTACCATATTCTATCCTAAATATTGGCAAGCAAATCAGACTTACCTGAAGGCAAGGACTTCCAAGAATCTTGTTTCAATCTGAAACAGAAATCAAAATTGTTTCTAAGATCTGTTGGCAAATGTTAAACACGGTACTTATTTTGTTGCATGAACCTCACAGGTCACAATTAACGACTTACTCCTGTCTCCTCTTTTACTTCTCTAATAGCAGCTGCCGAAATATCCTCACCCTGTCAACGCACAGAGAAAAGTATCTATACTTGTGCTTAAACCAACTGTTCTAGAGTCAATCAAATATATAGAAACATACTACACCTCATTTACTACACCAGTTGGCAGATTCCAAACTCCTGTAGGAGAAGCTAAGCTAGCCTGGACCTGAATAAAAAAAAATGAGAATGCCAAATAATTAATTTCTCATTCCCATCATTCAGAAAAATCTGCACGTAGCACAAGAAATACTCATGAAAGAGGTTGCATTACCTGCCATGAATCATAGGCGGCATTAAGAATAAAAAGAGGAGTTTTTACGTTGTCAATCAGGTTCTGAGGGAAGAAGCACTGAAAAAGAAAATGAAAATCAACTGTGAACTTGGAAACATGAAAATTCTCTAGTACAACAGCATTGCGGCAATTGTGGCAGTAAAGATGAAAAAGACTTACTGAAGTTGGATCCCGATATCTAGTACACATACTTGGCAGGTTCTTGGCAACACCCTGGCAATAAATGGAAGACCGTTAGCTGAGTCAGTTTAACGTGGCTGATAGAAGTTCTCAACGTGGCTGAGGAAAGTGCGAATGGCGGCGGTAGTCTTCTGGGAGCCGAACCAAGCATCGACCTTGAGCTTCCTCTTTCCGGTGGCCTCATCGGTGATGAGCTGGAAGTCGAGGTTGAGATGCTTGAAATTGCGAGTAAGCTTCCCGCGGGGTCCTTCCACCTAGATCTGCACCTCACCAAAGGTTTGCATTCTACTTGACATTTTATCGAACAAGTTATGGACAACAAATCCATAACAAAATAGTCACACTCTACAAGTATGTATTACCTCCTTTTTGACAGGCTCTTCCTTCTCGGACAAAATCAACTCAATATGGCAGGGGGAAGACATGTAGGCTAGCCAAAAAGATCATACATTGAGGTTAATAGACAAAATAGAAAACTGAAAAAAGTCATCTATCGGACATACGGTTTATTCTTCCATGGGCATGATATGTGCGGCGTCTTTGTTTATGTGCTTGATTCACTTGAATGTGAGAAATGAAAAGTGAATCCACATCCAAGCCTTTCACCTACATAGACAAACCTCTGCATTGCTTTCAGCATTCTTGAGCAAATCCAAAATGAAGCTAGCAGATTTAACAGGCCAGCGACCCTGTCCATTTGAATGCCTATTCTTGGCCTGAGCAGTACGCCCAACACCTCCACAGAGAGAGGGGGAGGGGGGCTGGAAATGGTGGAGCTGGAAAATGAAAATTTTGGGTAAGTGTTTTGACTAAGTGTTTTGGCCGGTAGAATGAAAATTTTGAGTGTTTTAGAGCAAATGAATCTTCCGCCAAAATCAAACGATGCCGTTTTGTGTCTTTCTTTTTTTTTTGGTACATCTCACATTTTCTCAAGTGTCATGTTAGGTAGTCTAAAGGCACATTATTATTTTATATCTGATAAAACAAAAAAAAAATTAGAGTATATATTATTGAATTGCTAATAAGTGTCATGATAGGAGTGCTATAATGATAAAAACCAGCAAGTGTCCTTATAGGCATGTCAGAAAAGACCATTTTTGTTGTAGTGAGCATAGACTATAAGTGTATATAGCCAATAGTTGCCGGAAGTTCATGTTGTTTAAGTGATCAGGTTCCTGACCTCTCTTCAATTTAAACTATGTTGGTAAGACATAAGGCTAGATACTTTTTAAAAAAACCTTGTAAAACCATTCTCTAGTGGATGAATATTCTCAAGTGGATTAATTAATTAAACGGCCAGAGTCTTTTAATTAAATAATGAATTTGCAGATATATCTAATAGAGATATTTATGTCTTTTGTATTTATATCGCATTACTTTCCAATGCCTTTTGTTTTTGGTTGTTTTTCCTAAAGGCAAATTAACCAACATCTTAGCATATGATTACAAAAATCAATTAATAAACATGTTAGCAAAAATCCTACAAAAATAATGATGAAAGTACTTGTTTAAATCCTATGTCTTCATACAAAACAAACAGAAAATAAAACAAAAAAAATTTCAAGATATGTTACTAAACTCTTACAATTGAAAATCAACATGCCTTTTTTAAAAAAAAATAGGTATTGAAAGAAGATGTATTTGATAATCAAGAGGAGTGGAAACCCAAAATCGATACTTTCATGTGCCAGCCACTTGCACTGGAAATACCTAACCATGAAATCAATATATTAGAGGCTATATGTAGTGTAGGCATAAGAAATAAGAATTGATAAGGATATAAAGAGATATTGATAAGAACATTAAAAGTAGGTTTATCTTGATTTAAGTTGCTTAAAGTACGTAACTTTGGGTAGGAAATAAGAATCATATAATATTAAGAATTCTTATAGGAAATAAGAATTGATATACATCCAAACAAAAAAGGACCAAGCCACGTAGGAAACTACTTGCTGTCTCGTTAAGTCACGTAGGAAAGAGAAAACATGAAGGGATAAAAATGAGAATACGACTTTATTATATATATATATGATAATACCCAAGAGGCTTTAACCTACTTCGAACTTCTACCACCTTTTGGTGGAAAAATAATAAAATTTGAAGAAAATTATTCTTCTATTTTGTTTTACAAAGGATATTCAGTGTTCTTGTCTTATATCACTCCGAAGTTATCCTCACTAAAAACCTAATATCACCCTATGTCATGATACTTAAATGTCAATATGGTGAGATTATTTTCATAACTCAGTTTATTTATTAGGTGTTTATAGAGTACTCATTAAGATATATTTCAGGTATTATATTTTTTAAAATATAAGATTAGGGAAGGTAAATAAATACAAGGGAGGGTAGGCAAGATTAAATAGGAAAATATGGATTGATTCTTATTATTGAAAATAAAATACTTAAATTGTCAGCAAAATTAAAACACTTAAAGGCTATCCAAATTGATAAATTATGGAAATTAAGGGAAAAATGGGCGGAAAAAATATTGTCCCACATTTTTTTCAACAAAAGCTAACAATATGGAAATTTAGGATAAAATATAGATGGAAAAGAGATGGGATTTATTCTTGTTAACAAAACTAAAATACTCAAAAGTTGGTAGCATGAAATCAAGAAATAGTAGGTGATTAATACTTATTAACTAAAGTAAAACACTCAAAATCTGAGAACTAAAAATTAAGAGAAAAATTAGGTGAAGAAAAGATGGGTTAATAAAAATAAAACACTCAAAAACTTCCAATACAGAAACCAAGAGAAAAAAGTAGGTGATTGGTTCTTATTAACAAAAATAGCATGCTCAAAAGCTCACAATGCAAAAGTGAAGGAGAAAATTTGGGTAGAAAAAGATGGATTAACAAAAATAAAATAGTCAAAAACTGACCAAAATAAATTATAGAATGTATACAAGTGGCAAAGAGTTGGGGTGTCCATTTGGTATCATATAAGAATATCCAAGTCAGAAACCTTCAAAAATCGAAACTGAACATCATTTTATGATATATACTAAAGGTATCTTGGTTGTGCAAGGCATAGCCTGGGACCCTATGTAGGTTAGTTGAACATATAGTAACATATATTTTTAGTCCATAATAAACAAAAATACAGGAGCAAAATTAAGAATCAAAATAATTAAAATTTGCAATAAAGAGAAATTCCATTTATGAAGTTAGCCAACGCCCCACCCCACCTTCTCCTGATTTTATAAGGAATGAAATTAGCCCCCTAATTATTGTAATTAGACAAAGAATTTTGTACCAGTATTACATGACACGATGATATAAAAAATGTAGAGAGTAAATATACTATGAATGTATTGCCAATTCAACAGCAACATAGCTTTAGTTGTAATTAAACCAAAAGTAGTCCAATGAGTTTGCAATTTCTTTCAAACAAAAGTGAAGAACCATATTATGATTATGGGAAATAGGTAAAAAAGATCTATCAAATCCATCACTAATCTTGAGATTGATGAAGAAAGGCAATAAAGCAAAAGCACGGTTGAGTACAATGTGAAGGAAGAAAACTGATTTTCCTATGCAACTCTGAGAAACAATTTATAGAGGAATAGGAAAAGAGACTTTAATCGATCGTACAAATAAAATGTAATATATTAATTGTATAACAAATATTAAAATTAAACATATTAAAAATGGTTAACTTATAACAACTAAATAATTAGTTTCAATTGAATCTTATTCCGTAATTCAATTACATTTACTATAATTAATGGCATCAAATCAACATATGAGTGAAGGAGATATATTAGGAAATAACTATAATTAAATATTTGATTCTTTCATGACTAAAAAGAATTTTAAAAGCAAACTAATAGATGATAAACTTATTATTTGTTCAAATTATTAAAAAGTAAGAAAAGTAATTTGGGAGAAACTGTTACAACCTTGTGCTTTTATGAAGGATTAACTTTTTATATATTGACATTATAGTGATTTTTTTACACTAGTAGTTTTGAATGTATGTCACATGTGCATGATTTGAATTTTAAATTTAGGTTCATGTTATGTGACATGATCTAAACCTGCTAGTGTAAAAAAATTATGCATTGATAATGTATACAAAAGTTATCCTTATATGAATACTACTTTGGCCTAAATCAAATTTAAATGGAGAGAGTATAAAAATTAATAAAATATTTTAGAAAGAATGACTCATTATACAATTTAAATGAACATTTTCTTTAATTTCAATGGACTTATATGAGTAATATGCCAAAATTGTGTAATATTGATTCATTAAGAAATAAAAATTTCAAAACTTTAAATTGTAAATAAATAATAATAGACAATAATATGGATAGAGTGAACATAATCGAAGAAAAATTGTGCATTGATTCATAAAAAATCAAGAAAGATATATTCAATGTAAAGATATATAAAGTAGGGAATTAAGAGATTGAAATTTACTACAAAAATAAAGAAGTAAAGAATGATAAAAAATAAAATAAAATTTTACACATATTTTAGTAATAGTAATAAATCATCGATTTAATCATATACAAAGTAGGACATAAATATATCAAAATTTACTATAAATAAGGAAGTATATAAGAATGGGAAAAAATTAAATTTTTTTCAAATTTTAGTAATGATAATAAATTATTAATCCAATAATGGGATAGAGAATGTGATTGTAGATAATTAAAGGAAAACTACTGAATGAAAAATAAATTAAGCCATAAAATATAAATATGTATATAAAATAGGTAATTAATAGACTTTTGAAATTTACTATAAATAAAGGAGTATAAAAGAACTCTAATTTATTGAAAATAGATAAAGAACAAAATTCACAAAGAAAAAAAAGCAAATTTTTTTTCTCATGGCAAAAAGATAATATTTTCATTTGACAAAATACCACTAACTCAACAACTTATTAGAGCGGGAATATATGTGTGTGTGTGTGTGTGTGTACGCATGTATGTATGTATATGTATATATGTATACGTCCATCAATCTTCTAAGAATGAACATGTAAGGGAAGACTATCTATGTAAGTATAAACGTGGCATACTTTATCCA